GCCTCTCTCTGGCCTCTCTCTGGTCTCCCTCTGGTCTCTCTCTGTCCTCTCTCTGGTCTCCATTTGGCCAGAGGGAGAGAGGGAGACGGAGAGTCTGGCCTCTCTCTGGTCTCTCACTTGTCTCCCTCTGGTCTCTCTCTGGCCTCTCTCTGCTCTCTCTATGGCCTCTCACTTGTCTCTCTCTGGTCTCTCTCTAGTCTCTCTCTGGTCTCTCTGCACAAGGGCGAAGAATCAGAAGCTGACTTATCACCACTGCATCTCGGATAAAAAACTCTGTAGAGAATTCAATATGAAGTATATCTATAATGTGATCATAAAAGAGGATAATTGGATCGGCGTTTCCAGACCTGCCGTGAACAAAATCAAGGCCACTTCCTTCTCCATCAGTTTCCATTGATACTGTAGTTCATTCAAAGCCATGGCTCAAGACCTCTTCATCTCTATTCCGGCAAATTGGTTGAAGAGGAAATGTGAGATTGTGTTTGAGCGTTTTGGATTGACAAATATCCAGAGAAGAGGAACAAGAGCGATGTGCTTCCTTCGCTGGCAAACGATTGCGTCGCTGATGTTTGGAGGAAAGATTTTGAGTTTACAGAAATAATGTTTGCATTTTTAACTTTGCTACATCTTGATTTTTTTGTTTTCTTGCATCTTCATTACGCTAAAGATTTTATACTGCTTCATTTTATGCTACTGTGACAAATGTTATGCTACTGTAGTCCCAATGTTTAAATTAAAATAATTAAAACATAAACTATAGGGACAAAGAAAAGGGGATTGAATGAGGACTAAAAGTTCAGTTTAAGCACAATGTATTCATCAGGTTTAGCTTATTTTGTACTTTGCTTTGAGTCTGCGCCAATCACTTAAATCACTCAGTTACAATACATGACTCGACAAATAACATTCATGAATGAAGGAAAGAAAAGAGCGGTACAAGAGAGCAGTGGTTGTGTTGTGCGCCCGGTTCACTCAGGCTGTTAAACCTCAGGTAGGACACGCTCTCTCAGAGTTCTTACTGGGGAAGGATTCCCAGCTTCAGATTACCCCCGTGCGTTGGAAGCGCCTCCAGAGCCATCAGCGCCACTACATGCTACGCGGAGCACTGCCTTCCAAACACACAAGCCGAGCGACCAGCACCCGGAAGAACAGACGGCAAGTGGGGCAAACGTCAACAATTTGGGGGTTTTACAGTGTAACGTCTGGCGCCTCCAGCTGTTGGGCGGATAAACTGTCCACACTACTACACTAGTGTAGTAGTGTAGAGATTTTATCTTAGTTATTGTTCATTTATCTTGTGCTGTGTGTTCCTCATTCGTACTGTCTGTAATGCAACACTGAAATTTCCGCACTGTGGGATGGATAAAGGATCTGTTAGGGCGGCACGGTGGCTGAGTGGATAGCACTCTCTCCTCTCAACAAGAAGGTCCTGGGTTCAAATCCCAGTCGGAATGGGGTCTTTCTGAGTGGAGTTTGCATGTTCTTCCCGTGCTTGCGTAGGTTTCCTCCAGGTATTCCGGTTTCCCCTAACACTGAAAATATGCTCACTAGGTTAAATCCTAGTGAGCAATCCATCAGGATGGGTCAGACGAAGAGGATTGAATTGCCCTACGGGGATCAATAAAGTGAGCTTTAATTTTAATCTGTATGTTTTAAATTGAGTCATAAAGTTGAATTGACTTGTTTGCACCATTGTCCGCGATCTCGTTCCTTCGGTCATTACCCAAAGCTCATGACCAGAGGTGAGAGAGGGAACCAAGATTGCCTTTGTCTTTAGGCTCTGCCAGGCCCGTCCCAAGGGGGGTGCGAGGCCCTGTGCGAACTCGAAACGCGAGGCCCTGCCCTGACACTTTTTTCCCAGATCTGAGGAAAGTTTTTCCTGTTATAATCTTTGACATGAATTCAGCACCACCTCGCGCGGTGCTTGACGAGATCAGCACGCGTGTAACCGAGTGTCTTCGCTCCTATGCAGCGTTTGGCGCGCGCACGTACACACGCACACACACTCTACGTGCAATATTGGTCGCGGTCTTTTTAGCTGACATGTCTCTTTCGTCCTGTGGCAAAATGGTAGAGCAACTCAAAAGATTGAACCAAAAGGAGTCTTTTTCTTCTAATAGTTAGATTTTGGCAAAATGCGCCAAAATGGCTATGAGGCGGAGTCAATATTATTTTTTTCTCATCAAATAACGTTTTTGCCATGCCTCCACACACTCTGACAACATACGCTCCTCCTCCTCCACACTGACAACAACAAAATACTCTTCACCTCCTCCTCCACACACTCTGACCACAACAAAAACACTCCAGCTAGCTAAAGCTAGACATACAGTGTGTTTGCTAATGCTTTTAAAAATATGTTTTTGATGTGGATATTCGGACTAAACATTGGCAATAGCAGCGCTCACACACCTGTCACACCGCTGCTCCTCCTCCTCCTCCTCTGCTCACACAAAGGGGTCTGCTCCTCTGCTCACACCTGTCTCACTGCTCCTCCTCCGCGAGTATCCATCTCTCCTACACTGCGATCATTCCCGTTACTTTCTTTGTATCTCACTCAGACACTGCTAAAGTTATCTGACAGTTTTTTCGGAGGACCCGTTGCATACATAGCTGCCCGCGCGCCTGCCTGTTTACAAATCGCTTTTGGTGAAAATTTGACTTTACTTGTAAAAATGTTCTTTTGATCAAACGAAATCAAAGAGGTCCAGAGAAAGGGGTTTAGGGTTCCAAATTTGGAGTGCAGTCTGCCCTTTGGGGACCCTTGAACTAGTGTATTTATAAAATAAAATAAAAGGAAGGAAGATTGCGAGGCCCCTGTGTGGTGCGAGGCCCTGTGCGACGGCACAGGTCGCACAGCCCTTAGGACGGGCCTGGGCTCTGCTCCCTCTTTACCAAAACGGTCCAATACAGCGACCGCATCACTGCGCACGCTGCACCGATCCACCTGTCAATCTCACGCTCCATCCTTTCCTCACTCGTGAACGAGACCCCGAGATACTTGAACTCCTCCACTTGAGGAAGGACCTCTCCACCTGGCATCTTTTTCTGGTCGAGCTCCATGGCCTCAGATTTGGAGCTGATTCTCATCCAGCCGCTTCACACCATGCAGAAAAAGCAGTTGTCCTGTTTCTCTTTTCTACTATCCCCAAACCCATGACAACAGCAGCTAACGCTCAGTACCTTCACCACCTCTACTCTTCAGATCCACTGTCAGTGTGAACACAGCAGAGAGAGTCAGAAAGAAAAGGTGTTTTGCTGCAGACCAGACGAAAGAAAAATCAATTTGTTTCATCTCGACACCTGTTGGTGAGTGGGAGCGTTTGAAGCCGACAGCAGCGAGTGTGTGTTTGACGAGGTTGTGTTGCAGAAATCTCGGGTCAGAACAAAACTGTTAATCGCACAGAGAGAGAATGAGCAGTGGAAGAGCTCAGTGTGAAGACGGCCGTGTTTCAGCCAAAAGTAAATATGGATCTATTTCAATCTGCAGAGACTGGAACAGACAAAACAGGGATTTGAACCTTCCACTTTTAACCTCAGGGGTCGAAACAATTTTTATTTTAAAGTCAGTTGTGCCTTGGACCCCTTCTTATTTCCCCTTCATTATGAATATTAATAAAACTGGTTTAATCTGAATTTCTCAGAATTCCATTGGTTTAAATGAGAGAAGTCAAAATGACGGCTCTGGGAGTTGTAGAAGTTTCGGAATTCTGGGAGTCTTTGTGTAATAGTCATTGTCGTTGTGTCCTCTTTGATGAAAGGTCAAAAAACACACAAATACAAAACATACATACACACAGGGACACACACTTACACAAGGAGACACAAATGCACAAAAACACACACCCACAGATACACCCACCTTCACACAAACACAAGCACCCACAGAGAAATACACACACACACACACGCAGACACACTCACAGGTACCCAGAGACACATACACAGGGCATGTACAAACACGCACACACATACACACACACAAGAGGGACACAGAGACACACACACCCACACACACAGAGGGACACACAGATGCACGCACACACACACATACACACACACACACAAACACACACACACACACCAGAGGGACACAGAGACACACACACACACACAAACAGGGACACATGCACACATACACAGGGGCACAGAGATACATGCCCACACACACACTATAACATACACACTGTCTCCTTTAAAAGGCAGACTGGAGTTTCAAAGTTGTGTGTTAGATTTCAGACTCTCTCGCTCCTTTTGCAATCACTGCTAAATGACATTAATCCTAAAATAATTACAGAATTTATTTTTGATGACTATAATTAAGTGTCTTAATAGTCTGCTCTCCACGACACAAAGGATTTATTTCTGAATCGTCAAACTCAAAGCTTTTCACAAAATCTGAAGACGCTGTTTTTAAACTCTGCTATTTCTGACTCTCCTTAAATCTGTGTCTGTCTCAAAGTGTCCTGTTTGGTTGTCAGCTTTATCCAGGGTTTCTATTGTTGTTCGTGCAAGAAGGAGAGAGAGAGAGATAGAGAATAGAGAGGAGAGATAGAGAAGAGAGAGAGAGGGAGAGAGAGAGGAGAGAGAGGAGAGAGAGGGGATAGAGAGAGAAGAGACTGAGGTGCGAGAAGAGAGAGAAGTGACTGAGAGAGAGGATAGAGAGAGAAGAGAGAGAGGAGAGAGAAGCCGCTTAAACTCACAGCAATTTGCAGACACTGAACAGAAAGTACTTAACCTTTTTAGGCCTAAAATGTTTAGTGTGACACAAACTGTGACTGTGAGTTTTCTTCCAGTCTTCCTGGTATCTACACAGTCTCCCTGGTACAGTCTTCTTGGTCCTGTTTTCCTGGTACAGTCTACCTTGTCCAGTCTTGCTGGTACACACAGTCTCCCAGGTACAGACTTCCTGGTTCAGTCTTGTTGGCACAGTCTCCCTGGTACAGTCTGCCTGGACTTGTCTCCCTGGTCCTGTCTCCCTGATCCTGTCTTCCTGGTACCTGCATGCCTCCGCTTGGCTTCTTATGGTTCAGCAGCAGCTCCACGGCGCCCACCACCTCTTTGCGAATGGCGTGGAGCAGGGCGTCGCCGACGTAGACGTTGAAGCTGAGCAGGAGCTCGATGATCTCCAGGTTCTCGTTCTCGATGGCGATGAGCAGCGCCGTGCGGCCCAGCGGGTCGATGCAGTTTATGTTGATCTTGAAGTAGATTTCTGCTTCCTGCATAAGAGAACGGACAAGTCACATGACGTCGTTTTGTTGTAAACAAAACCCAGACTTTCGGTGAGGTCCTGGTCCTGGTCCTGACTGTTCTGATGCACAAACTGTTAACAGTGAAGTGAGAAAAACACTTTCACCATCGAGCTGCTTCTGGACCATTTAAAAAAGGAGTATCATAAAAAAAAAACAGGGGTTATAAAAGAAGCAAAATCTTAAAAATGAATGATTTATGTTATAACCACATAGATTGTAAAGATTAACAGATATATTAATGCCTTTTTCCGCTGTTCAAACTAATGTGACATTAGTTTTTTCATAATGGCAGCGGGGGCTGGAAAATGAAAAAACGCATTTGCGCATGCATTAGCTGCTCTAGCCCCATTCATTTAATAATTGCCTTCTCAAGTCCACAGCGGCTAATCTGGTCCAAAAAAATACACTCCCCTCAGTATCAGCAGCATCTGGAACGTAGCTTTGAGCCAAGAGCCACTTTTGTACCATACTGTAAATAGGTTTTTGAGAGGAAAGATGACGTCATATAAAAGCATTGGGTAATTCTGTTTCCGGGTACACCCCCACAGGCCCAGTACATCTCAGTGCACATGCTCATGAACCTTTTGGAGCCGGGACTTGCCCACACTGGTTAATAGAGTCCTACAACTTCGAAAATAAAATTAATTAAGTTCTTCAGCAAAACTCTCAATAAATTAGAGCAAATGTAAAAACTGACATTTATATTTGCAAAGAGTCAATTATACATTTTTGATAACTGTTATATCTAATAATATAAATACAATTTTTTTTATGATTGTTGTTACTTTTTTAACCCCTAGTCTTTAATGATTGACCTTTACCAAATGGTTGAGAAGCAGCTTGATGTAAAAGTGACTAAAACCAAGTGACAGAGACGCAACAAACAAAGAAGTAGATTTCAATAGTGACTCAAAAAGCGATCAAAGAATGTTCCGGAAAACATTAAAGGGTTAAACTTAAAAACCCAGAGGAAGTAGCCGACCACCTCGCCATCTTTGTGTAAGAATTCATTGGCCTCCCAGCAGGGGGCGGGGGTGTGAAACAAATAGGCTTCACTCACACTGGCTTTTGAAACGGGGATTGATTTTTCCACAGGGAGAAACTATTGATGTAAGAAGTGAATGACATTTTTCAAGCCTCAAAAACCAGTGTGTTTTAAATGGAGTGACTGCTGTTTGACACTGTTTTTTGGGAACAAGACAAACCCAAAATATTGTCTGGGAACTTATGGTATTCAGCTTTAGTTTTAGCCTTAAAATCTGCCTCCGGAGGCTTTGATGTTGGAGATAATGAGACAGAGAGACGCGAACCCTCCCCCTCCTCACCCATTATCACACCAGTTTTTTCAGTTTTAGCTTTGATGCTGTTATTAAAACTGTTCTGAAATGCTACAGACTGACGGGTACTTTAATGCCTGTGTGCGTGTGATAATAATGAATCTAAAAATGCATACCCAATTGTAATCTAACTGCAAAAAGAGATGAAAATAAGTCAAAAATGGCTCATTTGTGGCAAAATGTCTCAGTAGATAGTCTCTCAGTTTCAGATCAAGGAATTTTCACTTCATATTTTATCATTTTTTGCAGTGAATAAACATTTCTTATTTTGCCTGTCTAATGAGAGAGAACCCTGTCTAACTAATGAGAGAGACCCCTGTCTAACCAATGAGAGAGACCCTTGTCTGATTCGTATAGTGGTTGCATAAGTGCTTTCTTTTTAGTCAACTTGCGAGGACCACTAACAAAAATCTATTGATGATTCTTTTTATAGCCTCAGACTTATCCACCCTCACTGTGTGAAGGAGAGGTTCTGCAGGTCTTTCCTTCCTACTGCTATCAGACTGTACAACGAGAACTGCTGAGCCTGAGCATGACATTCATTGGTAAATAAGTTAATACTGCAACTTCAGAAAGCCCACTGAATGTCACTGTATCTATTTATTGTTGCTATTGAAGCATTTACAGCTGGCTAAGAAACATAGCGGCTACTTAGAGAGAGACCAGAGAGAGACTGGAGAGAGACCAGAGAGACCAGAGAGAGACCAGAGAGAGACCAGAGAGAGATCAGAGAGAAACTGGAGAGAGACCAGAGAAAAACTGGAGAGAGACCAGAGAGAGACCTCAGAGTGGCTGGAGAGAGAGACCAGAGAGAAACTGGAAAGAGACCAAAGAGAGGGCAGAGAGAAATATAGACAAGGGAGAGACCAGAGAGTGGCTGGAGAGAGAGACCAGAGAGGGAGAGAGAGCGAGAGAGACCAGAGAGAGACCAGAGAGTGGCTGGAGAGAGAGCGAGAGAGCAGAGAGAGAGCAGAGAGAGACCAGAGAGAGACCAGAGAGTGGCTGGAGAGAGAGCGAGAGAGCAGAGAGAGACCAGAGAGAAACTGGAGAGAGACCAGAGAGAAACTGGAGAGAGACCAGAAAGAGAGCAGAGAGAAAGATAGACAAGGGAGAGACCAGAGAATGGCTGGAGAGAGAGACCAGAGAGGGAGAGAGACCAGAGAGGGAGAGAGACCGAGAGAGACCAGAGAGAGACTAGAAAGAGACCAGAGAGAGACCAGAAAGAGACTGGAGAGAGAACAGAGAGAGGCTGGAGAAAGAAAGAGACCAGAGAGAGGCTGGAGAAAGAGAGAGACCAGAGAGAGACCAGAGAAAAATTTCGCTGGGGACGCAGAAGCAGCAGAGAAGCCCAGACCTTGCTGCACACTCCCAGCTTAAAGACATAAGTAAGTAATCTTTATCTATGTAGCGCATTTCAAAGGTCACACTGTAAAAAACACAGTGACGACAGAAGCGAGACTCCGAACATCACCTCCCACTCACTCTCTCAGTGCATTCAGACCTATTGTACATGTTTTAAGTGGTAGGGGAAACTGGAGCATCTGGAGGAAACTCGCACATACACAGGGAGAGCATGCAAACTCTACACAAGCTTAAAAGCAAACTGCTGCACCACCATGTCACCCAAATAGTACGTAAATACGGCAAAGATACACCTTATTGTCCCTGTTTGGATTTTGAAATTACACATTTTTCATTCTATATTTGATTATTTAAGAGTTTTACAATTTTGGTTTAAAGCTGCATTACCTTACTTTTTTTACCTCCTTTTTGAAGAATAAGTAGCGCAGATTTGTGCTGGCGTGTCATTTTATTTTAGATCGAGTTTTGGTGCAACAAGGAAGAGAATGTGTTTCGGGGTCCCTATTGTGACCAATCACAGCGGACCACTGGCCCCCACTTTCTTGAGAAAAGCCACAGGTCTCTCGTTAGCACAGACAGCTGAAGTAAACAAGCGACGGAGGACCTGAAACTTCCCGTGTCTTCGTTACCGGTTACTGCTTACACAGCGAAACAGCCATCCAATAGAAAGTCCTCCGCGCTTCCCGGTTCTGTTGTTCCCACGCTCAAATGTGCGATCCATATTGTGAGACGTGACGTGAGCTCCGTAAACAGCACATGTGCGGCTGAGAGGGAGGGGGGGCGATAGCTCCGTGAGCGCGGGAAGGGCGAGCAGAAAGAGAGAGGCCAGCTCTCACATTCGATAATTTCACAAAGTGAGATAGTGCAACTTTAACATTTCCAAGAAAGACGATGACAGAAGCGAGACACTGAACACATGGTCCACAAGTTCACTCATCACACTCATACCTAGCCTGGTCTTACCACACCATTGTACTCATTTCATTTCGTACTAAGATCTGGATTTGCTCCATTGACTCCGTTAACAGGTGGGAGGGGTTAACTCCTTTTGCAGATTGAAACGTTTGGATCTGAGTTTACCGTGACGTATGTAATGAGCCCCAGTGAGTGAGGCATTTAGCATTTAGCCTAGCTTTAGCATCTAGCCTAGCTTTAGCCATCTCCTTTGCCACTAACGGAGCCCGTGGGGAGTAGAGCCACAACATCTTCACAGCAATAACATTTACTAAACATTCCTCTTGCTCCGGCTTCAATTTCTTGATATTTGGATTGAACCAGAACAGATTATTTTACTATCGCATTCTCCGCCAAACTACAAACAAGCAAACTCGACATAAACCTTTGACGTCACCGACACCGACCGACAACCCCCGCCTCCCCCGCTCTATGATTGGTTAGAGGGGATTCAACCAAACTGCAGCCAGTAGGACGTAGATGTAGGAAATGATCATGGACCAGAGTTTATGGATGGATAAGAGCAGGCAAACTCATACACAGTCCCTCCCCTGAGTCCTGGGTCTTTCCTGGGGTTGTCTCCCACTGGGACATGGCCTGGAACACATCACCTTCTTTCTCAACATGGAGAAGCAGCGGCTTCTACTACTCCGAGTTCCTCCCGTGTGCCTGACTACCTCACCCTCGTCATCCCCCAAAATCTTGACCAACCGTGACTGCTAGAAACGTAAATTAAGCAGTAAACCTCTAGCTTTACCTTCTCCACTTTTCTACATTGATGCAACTATTAGCAGAAAAACACACAGGGCCCAGATGTTGTGGAAACAGATCCAATCATCTGGGCTCAGACCTAAAGCTCTCATCTCCTCCACCTCAGTCTTATAGGACTCATCGCAGTCTCACCTCAGTCCCATCTCTCTGCAGCTTTAGATCCATCCCTTTTCCATCACGTTTCAAACTGAGCCATCAGGGGCACAAATCTAAACATAAGCTAACGGCTAATCCAGAGAAAGCCCAGTCGTAGATATGTAAATCAAAAATGGCCGAATAGTAAATGCTAAGTATGAATAATGTAACCATCACTTCTTCTTTTGGTTTCTGAATTCTGATGTAGACTTTGTTCCAGTTGGTTTTTGTCTATACACCAGTAATTACAAACATATGAACCAAAAACATGTCAAAATGTATTCAGATTTCAGTTATTATTCTTTATTTGTTTGAAAATCGTGTCATGTTTTATATATTACTGATAACTGTAACTCTGTATTGCACCTTATTGCACTGTATTTTAATGTAATTTAGCTCTGCCTCCCCCCATGTAAAGTGTGTTTTAAGTCTCGTCTTCAAACCCATTTTTATGCTCTGGCTTTTAACACTGCGTGAGTTGTATGGTCCTTTTATTTTAGTTTATTTTGTTTCAGTTTGTTTTATTGTTATTTTCATTTTTTACATGTATGCACACATGGTTTTTCCTATTTATTCTTTTTACTGTTTCACTGTTTTACAATGGATTTGTTTTAATTAGTATTTTGTGTGTATTTACAGTGTTTATAAAATGTGCTATATAAATAAAGTAGATTGGATTGGATTACTTAATTTGAGCACATTTAGACTGAGCATTAAAACAAGATTTTCCAATGGGACAAAGAAAAATAATCTTGTTTTAAAAATATGTAAGAAATGTCTCTCTTGGAATGAGCTCAGATTAATATAAAAACACTCAAGTTAAGCATTTATTACCTCATATTTTGTCATTATTTGCAGTGCACCAGCCAAATTGTGTCATTATAGGCCATGGAAATGAAAAAACATTTCAAATTAGTCCAGGAATTACACAGACATGAGCTGTGAACTTGACTTTTGACACTAACCAGAATCAAAATCCGAAATATTTTTATCATTATTATTATTTGTAAGTGACAGGAAGTTAGGGTTAGGATCAAGAATCTGCTTTGGCTCAAGATGCAGACAGGTTAAGAGTAATAATCAGTGATGGGAATAACGCTGTTACTTTTTTCATTAAAGAGTAATCTAACTAATTACTTTGACTGTAACTATAAAGCTGTTATCATTGCCGACACCCCGATATTGCACGTTACTCAAGTCGCACAATTAACTTTTTTTTTTAACTTCATGATAGGACTTGTGTTGTCTTGAGAGAAGGGAGGATGACAAAACCTCTCAGCAATTATTGGCTGATGTAAAACATATTTTCTTTACAATCTGAATGTCTACAGTCTACAAATATGTGTCTTAACCATAGACTGTACTGTATGTATTAACAGACAGAGTCACGCCTGTCTCCGTCGTTCAAACTAATGGGCCAAAAATTGTGCTCTACTGGAGCTATCCAAAATGAGTGGTCCCGCCCACAAGAAAAGTGTGAAAAAACGCATCTGCGCATGCGAGAGCCCCATTCATTTGAACGAGTGCCTTCAAAAATTCACAGCGACTAAACCAAAGTGGTCAAAAAAAATTCACTCCCCTCAGCATTGACACACATGTGGAACGGAGCCTTGGGCCAAGAGCCAACTTTTGGACCATCTTGTAAAGATGTTTTTGAGAGGTCAGCTAATGCTATATGTTAGCATTGGCTAATTCTTATTCCGGGTCCACCCCGATCGGCCCGGGGTGGTATTGCAAGCATGTCAGCGCACGTCATTTTGGCCACTTTTGACCCGCCCCCACTGGTCTTAACCCTTTAAGCGCCAAAGTCGCAATATTGCGACAAGCAACATTGCTCACTTAAACAGGCTGTATGTAAAAATGTGGTGCAGAATCTTGTTAATACTTTTCACCAGGGGTTAGTGGACATGTGTGCCTGTAATATGAGCAACATTTGTGGGTGTGGTTATATTGAAAGTTTTTGAGTAAATTGAGTTCGTAAAACACCTGCGGCGCAGCGGCGCGGAGGCGAAGCAGCAGCAGCGGTAGAGCTGAGAGGAGCGAGAGCAGAGCAGAGGGAAAGAGTGTTTTTTATTTTACTCACGAAGTCTTCAGTACCAGAGAAGTATCTGGTCTGGTACTGGCTCACTCAGATTCAGAGGAGGAAGACACACAGGTGTCCAGTGAAGCAAACACAGACATTATTGGTGACGGGGAGAACGCTCCATAGTCCACAGTCAGCCCCTGTACAGCGGCTGCTTGTCCTCCGTGTGGCCGCGGTAGAAGCATTCTGTGAACGCCAAGCAGGGGCCGTGGTCGAGGGGACAGGGGCATCATAACACCGGGCATGTGGGAGAAAGTAGCCGGGGTAGACATCCGCGGGGAACACGGGAGACGCGGGAGAAGTCGCGGGAGAGACGCGGGAAAAAAACACATCGCTTTTCGCGTTCACTGCCTTTACCAATAGTGATGATGAGGATCAAGGCAGTTCTTGAGAGAAAATAATCCACAAAAGTGGATCAGAAGTGTTGAAGAGCCTGTTGTTTCTTGTTGAGACGATCTGACATGTTCTGAGCCCATTCATTTCATCTCTCTGTTTCTAAACCATAAATCCAGGAGCCTCATTTCCACTGAGAAAAATAGTAAGCCCACCACTTCTTTGAAAGGGAAATATTGAAACCAAACTCCAGATTTCATGACTGTAAACTATAAAGAGAGCTGTCTTGATCACTGAAGGTCTTTGAAAATAATACAATTCCATATGGCCGCGAACCAGTGCTAAAACATTATCTATAATCTGGATCAGGGAATTTATTTCTATCCCAAATTCATTTCATACTAAAGATAATTCACACTGACTGTTTGTAGTATTCCCTGATCTAAAAAAAACTCCCAAGCTACAGCTTTTTGAAGTCTTTATACAATAATTAACATTTTCCAAAATGGCCGCCACCTTGATGACGTCACAATATGCAAATTAGATGACGAATCAACTTCCATCCCAAAGTTTGGTTCAAACTGAAGATATTTCTAATTTACAGTATGCCTTTATCTCAAACCATTTTAAAGTTATAGCCTTTTGAAATCTTGAAATCAAAATTGTATATTTTCTTGAAAAAACTCTGGCGCCTAAAGGGTTAACTGGCGCTCAACCGCAGCTTGCAATGTCACCAAGTGAGGCCAGCCTCAGCGGAGCGCATGTGAGCGCAGAATTCGGCTGCATCCCATTCAATCAGAATAATAATAATGCATTTTATATAGCGCTTTTTTGGACACTCAAAGACGCTTTACATGTCATTATTCTTTCACTCCATACACGGTGGTGATAAACCACTACTGTAGCCACAGCTGCCCTGGGGCACACTGACATAAGCGAGGCAACCAGTATGTGCCATCGGCCCCTCCGACCACCACCAACCATTCACACACACACCAGACGCATTCTAGGCAATGGGGGTAAAGTGTCTTGCCTAAGGACACAACGGCAGTTTGGCACTTTATAGCCGTAGCCGCCCCACTGTGGCGGATGTTTAGTGCTTACAGCACAGAGAAAGATGGAGAGTGAGGAGGACTGCAGCAGAAAAACAGCCTTCTCCAGATGGAAATATCACCACTATTTCAAACTCACTGAGGTTATAGGTAAAAATGTGCATGTCGTTTGCACATAATGCTCCAGAACAAAACAAAAAAGTTACATAATAGTTACTTTTACTGGTAACGTGCCCAACACTGGTAATAATAGGTAAAGTATTTAAAAATCTACACCTAACTACACATAAGTGCAGAAGAAGTACACACTATACACATCAGTGCCCGGTGTATTCAGCCGCCCTCTGCCACATCTTTAAACTCTAATTTCTCTGTCCTGCTGTGATGTCATATGATCCCATTGATTCCCACTCTCACCTGCAGGGCCTGTTTGACGCTGCCATAGTCTCCCTTCTCCACGGCGCCCAGATAGGCCTTCTCCAGCGGTGACAGCTCCGACTCCGCTCGTACGATCCTCAGCGGGATGCGGTCACGGTACGAGGAGCTGTCGGTGCGGCGGTAATACAGCTGCGACATCACAACCCCCACGCCTCACCGGCCCCCAGCCAGGCTACAGCTGCTCCAGGGGACAGTGGGGACAGTCTGCATGGGTCAGGGGGGAGGGAGAAGGGGAGGGAGAAGGGGAGGGAGGGGAGAGTGAGAGAAGCAAGGATAGGAGCCCATTAAAAGAGAGGTTCTGAATGTATGGAACAAACAGTTTAATTTCTCCAGTGTGAGGAATTGAGGGAGAGACAGGAGGAGAGGCAGGGGGAGACAGGTAGAGAGACAGCAGAGTGGCAGGGGGAGACAGAGAGAGAAAGGGGAGAGCGAGACAGTTGAAGACACAGACTGTATTTTGTCTTTTTATAACATGATTATTATTAGAGGCTGAGGAGAGAGAGACAGGAGAGAAAGGCAGGAGGATAGAGACAGGAGAGAGAGGCAGGAGGAGAGAGACAGTATAGGCTGGGGGAGAGAGATATGGGGAGAGACAGGGAGAGAAGCAGGGGGGGACAGGGAGAGAGGTACAGGGAGAGATAGGAGAAGAGATAGGGGAGAGTGGCAGGGGGAGACAGCCTCAATCCCCCACAGACACACTGACTTTTCCCTTTGGTTCCGGATTTATATTGGCTTTGGATGAAACAATTTCCATGGAATCATACGGAACAGCCTCGAGGAAAAACCTCCATTCACCAACAACGAATAAATCACACCATTATAGAAGAATACAGACCATAAGCACCGGCACACTGCAAAAAATGATCAAATATCACAAAAAGATTCTTGCTCTGTTTTGTCGCAGTTTTATCAAGTGTTTGTGTGATCTCAAAATAGCAGCTGTAGATCAGTAGTAGTTGTTTGGTGAGAACCTCAGGCTTCGTTGGAAAAGAGAGACCAGACAAGTAATTATGGGAAAAGAAAATATTGATATACTGCCTACACCTGGAACTGGACCTGGACCTGAACCTGGAAACGGCAGCAAGTCCTAAGTGTCTCTGAAACAGCTGTTGTTTTGTGCTTTACAAATGTTATTTTTCTTGCTTTTTTCTACCTGAGATGTTGCTGCAGTACAGTGTTCGTGGTTTTACACTGGCCCAGACCAGAGCAGAGAGGATTCATGGTCCGAGCCAAAGAGATCAGGTGAAAATCAACGGGAGAAACGCTAACTTTTTGAAAAATGCTAATGAAGCATTTAGCATTTTACTTTGGACCAGAGCAGAGAAAATGGTCCAAACGAAGCGGCTACTGACCTGTCCTGCTCCACCCAGAGGCTACTCCACCTCTGATGCAGTGACCTGAAGTGCTATTGCTGATTATTACTATTGTTTGTTTGTGTTTCTGCTGCTATTGGACACCTGCATTTCTCCTACAGGGATCAATAAAGTATCTATCTATCAAACTAACTAACCTGCACCTGCACCTGCACCTGGACCTGGACCTGGACCTGAACTTGGACCTGGACAAGGAGACGGACCAGAGGCTTCTGCTTACTATATTATGAAATACTATAAATTATGGTTGCTTTAAATGAATCAATTAAATTATTAAAACGAGTCCAAAACAAAAAGTACTTGAAAAATAGGGTGTTGTAGGTTGGTGTCAGTGACGACAGGAGTTTGCACTGAATTTTCTGGTTCGAGTTTGGCGGCGAATGCGATAGTTAGAAAATATGTTCTGGTTCGGCTCCAAATATCAAGAGAAATGTTTAGCAAATGTAATTGTGTTAGGGTTTAGCAAAGATGTTCTGGTAAAGGAGATGGCTAAAGCTAGGCTAAATGCTAACGACTCACTCAAGCCCATTACATACGTCACGGTAAACTCAGATCTAATGGTTTCAATCTGCAAAAGGAGTTAACCCCTCCCACCTGTTAACAGAGTCAATGGAGCAAATCCAGAAAATAGTAGGAAATGAATTGAGAAAGATGGTGTGGTAAGACCAGGCTAGTTCTTATATTACAAAAATTACAAAACAAATCTAGTAAACGCTTCATCCAGCTCGTGTCAAACCTGTGTAAGAGTGAACACACGGAGCGAGTTCTGTGTAAATCTAACTTTACCTCATTTTCTTTCTCTTTTTTTCTTACAAATGAGAGGAAGCCCTAATGCATTCAAGCTGTGTCTCCTCTGACAGTTCTCTGCATGAGCGCTTTTTCCATTTCACACTGGCTCAATGTTCCTTGCCCTGATCTCTATTAAACACAAGAACCACCTGTGAACCAATCAAACGCCTGCAACTTCTATTCTTTAAATAACTCAACTTGTGAATAATTGACGTGTGTGGTATTTTTAGGCTGGTGCCCTTAAGCTGTAGGCTTGCAGGAGGTTGAGGCTTTGGTTTTTCCAAATCAGAAAGGTCAAACGCTAGCCTGGTCTTACCACACCATCGTACTCATTTCATTTCGTATCAAGGTCTGGATTTGCTCGATTGACTCCGTTAACAGGTGGGAGGGGTAAACTTCTTTTGCAGATTGAAACAATCGGATCTGAGTTTACCGTGACGTATGTAATGAGCCAGAGTGAGTGAGGCATTTAGCATTTAGCCTAGCTTTAGCCATCTCCTTTACCACTAACGGAGCCCGTGGGGATATAGAGCCACAACATCTTTGCTTCAATGACATTTACGAAACATTCTTCTTGCTCCAGCTTTAATTTCTTGATTTTTGGATTGAACCAGAACAGATTATTTTACTATCGCATTCACCGCCAAAACTTGCCTGGCCTCAGCCATCTGTACACTCCGCTCAATCATCATTTCCCTGCATTTAACGTCTGGGTCTGGTCCCCATGCTAGCGAATACAATCGGTTGAATTTCTACCGATAAATCAGCGAGCGTGGGAGGTGGGTGTTGTAGTTAGTTGTGGGTGATGTCAAGAGTTTGCGTTGAATGGGCAGGTTGTAGTTTGGCAATGGTGAAAAATGCAATAGTAAAGGAATGAGCCAAGTTCAATTATTTCACTTTCAAATTACCTAGACCCTAGAGTTGAACAATGTATTAAAGTTTTGTGCAAATCAGACTTTGTATGTGCAAACGGGAGCAAATTTAATATTGTCCAAAACGGCCAAAAAAGGTTCACAATTTGCCGCTTCGCTGTTCGAACAATCATTTTTAAGTTACACGTGTTGAGAGGATGTGGAGCGATTTTGAGGCGAATCGGTGAAACGGCCTAGGAGGAGTCGCTTTCCAACCGACATGTATGAAAATTATTGCTGTTCATTTTTCCATTTTGCAGTGAAATTTATGGGCTTCCTGTTTGTCAGAGGGCGAGGCCATAATAATATTTTTTTCATGTCTTGACTTGAGGAACATGTGTACCGAATTTCATGGCTCTACGACAAACTTGACCTCCGAAAACTCCCATAGTGGTATTATTAGGCCCCAGCCCCGAACGGGGAAAGGGCCTATTGTTTTTGCTCTCTGCGGTGCTTGCGGCTTTAATTAGAACTTATATTATTAAATATATTTTAAAAATTGCCTTTGAGTCAATTTCATCTCTTCTTAAGATTTCAATCCACAGAAACTGAACTCATTTTGTTCAGAAAAATATAATCTAACTGAGTGAAACAAGTCCATCCATCCATCCATTTTCTTCCCCTTGATCCATTTCTGGGTCTACGGGTGGCAGTCAGAGCTGCACCCAGTACACCCAGTACACACAGCACCAGCCCCTTCACTAATCCTCCTGCAGGTGGTGAGCCCACAGGAGCTGGGATCTTTCAGTGGGGGCTTAAGTGCCTTGCCCAAGGACACAACGGCAGCAGACATCCGTGGGAGTCGTGAAGAAGGTCTTACGGTGGGCTCAAACCCACGACCGTCAGGCCCAAAGGCCAATGCTCTACCAACTGAGCCACTGTCGCTCTTGTGAATTGTTGAAGGTTTTCTAACTTGCACTTAGCCTGATTAAGAATATGGAGTGGTCAGATAATTTAGAAGTCTTCAGGTTGACCTTGATGCTTGACAAGCTGCGTTCGGATGTGAAAATTAGAGGAAGGGCGATTGAAAATCTTAAAATCGCAACGCAGGAAGAAGTAGAGAAAAAAAAGGCGGATAATTGGATAAATTTGACAGAGATTTATAGGAATCATCTCTCGGAGGTTGCAAAGCTGAACGAAGAGAAAAAGCAGCTTCCTGAGGCCATCAATGCAGAAGGGGCAGTCGATGGTACTGGGGTTGAAGTGGCGGAGCTGGGGACTCAGACCGATGTAGAGTTCGTAGAGATAGGGACTCAGACAGACGTAGCATCTGCTGAGATAGGGACTCAGACAGACCCAGCCCTCACAGAGACTCTATCAGAGAATCTTCCGGATGGAGACGGATCACAGGGCTTCCCTGCTTCAGTCCACCTGCATACAGGAACAAGTAAACACTCTCAGGGAACGCCTTGAGACTGTGCAGACGGAGATTCAACATTGCAGAGCTTTTATCGCAGAAAAAGATGAAATCATTCAGGTGTTGAGGGATCAACAGCAGATCAGAGACCAGCGACTGGAGCCAGAGCCTCAACTGAGTACGGAGGACACCAGCGCAGTGGAAAACCAAGGAGGTTTCTGGTCATCCTTCAAGTCCGGCGCAAAGAAAGCTCTTTTGGCAATCCCTGTTGTAGCGCTTGGATATGGCTTGTACTCTCTGGCACGTTAAGGAGCCAGGAAGTCACCGACCAAGCACCGTTAAAGACATAGGCACATCGGTGTGTGTGTGTGTGTGCGTGAGTGTGAGAAATGGTCATGGGGGCTGTCTACTCTGTACATTTGCCCCGTAGACCCATCTGTGTCAGATACTGTTCCCAAATGTGTTTTTTGACAGATTTGGGATCAGTAATTATCTGACAGAGTTGGACAGAGGGGCCGGCCCGAGACCTTCAAACTGTAGACATGAGTGCTTTAGGGCTTTTTCCTATAGTTTATCTTGCTCTGTATGCTTCCGGCCATTTACCCAACCTGTGAGATTTCATAACACTTTGAAGCAACTTTTGTTAAAGTTAAACTCATCATTCTATCAATGTGCAGAAGCCAGTACTTTTCCCTTGTTTTGTCTATC